TGCGATCCGTTGCCGGACACGGAAAAAAAAGACAAAAGACAAAAAAAAAAAAAAAAGATTTGTCTCTTCCACTAGACTCCAGGTTTTATGAAGGAAGGATTTTCATCTGTGTTATAGCAGTACTTTCTGAGTGCCTAATGGAAATCTTGTCATAAAGTAGGCATTTGTTGAATGAATGAAGGAATGAATAAATGAGTGAAGTCTGGATTTCTGAAAAATATGCAAACTACTTTATCAGGTTCACTAAATTTTTTTACAAATTACTAGGTCGCCATTATTAATCAATGAACCTGAATGAGCCTGAGCTACTTTTATAAGTTAAACTCTAGAATTATAAACTAAATAATAGTAGAATATAGCTATGTATGATTATGGAGAGCTAAAGGTTTATACAAGACATCAACTGAAAATAAAATTATGTAAGGCTTCTTTACATATATATACACACACACAATATATATAATATATATATATATTGTAAATATTACCTTGTATTACTTATAATTGTATAAATGTTTATAAACCATATAGCTATATACAAGTTTGTCCATAAGCATGCATATATAAATACATAGATGATAAAAAGAGATATGTAATAGGGCTGGCCCGGTGGCACACTGGAGAGTGCGCTGCTTGGGAGCGCAGCGGCACTCCCGCCAAGGGTTCGGATCCCATGTGGAGACCAGTTCCCGCTCACTGGCTGAGCGCGGTGCGGGCGCTACAAGGTGTTGTGATCCCGTTGCCGGTCCCCGGTACGGGCGTGACACCGAGGGTTGCGATCCCATTACCGGTCAGTAAAAAAGACAAAAAGGAAAAAAAAAAAAAAAGAGATATGTAATATATACAGATTGATAAAAGGGGATATATTATACATGCACACATGCATATATGTTTATTAGTGAAGATATTTATAGTAATAATAGTTGTAATTTTATTTCTATTTGCCGGTCCCCGGTACGGGCGTGACACCGAGGGTTGCGATCCCATTACCGGTCAGTAAAAAAGACAAAAAGGAAAAAAAAAAAAAAGAGATATGTAATATATACAGATTGATAAAAGGGGATATATTATACATGCACACATGCATATGTGTTTATTAGTGAAGATATTTATAGTAATAATAGTTGTAATTTTATTTCTATTTGTTTTGTTGAGGATATCCATTACTGCAATAAAAATATTTTAAAATATTATAGATAGATTTATCTGAAGATAAACATAAGATCTATAATCTAGTGATCAAAAAACAATGTATCATCTATGAGGTTGCTGAATCAGATTCAATGATAAACATGTTTTCAATTTTCTCATTATACATCTCTCTTCTCTATTATTTTATTACCTGTTGTACCTTTCATTAATCACTTATGACAGATAGCCCCTAGTTTGTGAGATAGTATGACAAACTTTGGAGTCAGAAAGGAGGTTCTACCTTTGTCATTTATTAACTCTGTACCTTAGAAGTAATTTTACTCAATGAAGCAAGCATATTTCTTCAACAGTAAAATAGAAATACTAATAGTTCCTATGTTAGAGGTAAGTAAAGTATTTAGCATTGTGCTTACTTCATGATAAGTGCTCAATTAAACGTAGATATTATTGGTGTTGTTATTACTGTCTAAACTTAATTTTATAGGAAGCTTTTCTTAAGCTACATGTAAAGTGTTTATGGTTTACAAATGTGTATGTAATGGGCACCAATGAGACATTCCAGTGTATATGGTATAAGCATGAGAGTACAAGTGAGTAGCCATATGCTCTCCTTAGCCAATTTACATTTAAGCAACTTCAATCATTTCCTAATTTAAAGGAATTACAATTTCCATTAAATTATATACACACACACACACACACACACAGATGGTTTTCATTTCCTAATTTAAAGGAATTACAATTTCCATTAAATTATATACACACACACACACACACAGATGGTTTAGTGGTAGAAATACTCAGCAAATTTGGAATTGTGGGTGTTACTTTGAATTGTAACTATCTTCTTAAATTCATGTTCTGCCTCCTCAAATATCTATTAGGCTTCTTAGATAGCTTTTTGCTCCTAATATCCAGCATGGTACTAAATAATTGTTCATTTATCACAAAAATATATGCAAGACTATGATTTGAAAATATACTTATTTTTCTTACTGTACTTTGCATAAGTGATATTTTCTTCATAATTTTTTATAATGTGCTTGCGTAGCATTCATAAAAATGGAGTGAAATACTAACCTCAGTTGAATCATCTGCTTTTGATATAGAATTATTCCGAAAACGATCAAAATTCCCGAAACTGCTGCTGCGCTATAAAATAGGAAAGGAAAAGGAAAACTTAGGATTCATGATTTTCACTGCTAAAACTGATAAATATATTACATTATAATTTAATAATCACTGTTTCTTGCAAATACAGGCTTTAAAAACCTCTTCTCTTGAATATTCAAAGGCTTTGAATGTATAACCAGTACTAACATTATTATATGTACAGCTGATAAAATGTCTTTGTATGTTTTATACTACAGTATTGTGTACATTGGAGATAATCTTGGTTAAATTATTTTTAACTTACTTTTGCTCTTGGGAGTGGCAGCTGAAGAATCTATGAATTTTAAACTGAGGCTTCCTGAAATGAACTAACACCTAACTTATGTCCATGAGGTAATAGCATGTAGTACTAACAAACCAACCAAACAAACAATAAGCAAATAACAACAAAACAAAACAACAAACTAAAGCAAGCATCTTAGTAGATCCACCATTAATCCTAATAAAGATTAAGTTTTTGAAAACCAAAAATGAACACATACTCTTTTCCTATTACTAACTCCTGATAATTTGAAATTCTGTGCTGGATATCAGAAAGAGAAGGTACACACATAGACCTATTAATAAATTGAAAACAACATTTAGGCATGCGCGGTCTAAGATTGAGAGTAAAACTGAATTTTTCCACATTTAACATGGAATTACAGTGGGACCTCTGGGTCAATTTCATTCACCAGTTTTGAGAAAAACCTCAATACGTTAATAGAAGACTGTTCCCTTGGATTCTTTTGGCTTACAAAGTTAAATTTTTATTCTTACGCAACTCATTCTAGGCAGGTAATTATAACTCCAGATATGCTACAAAGTAAACAGTTCTGTTAAACACATTTCAAAATTCTTTAGGCTCACTGGGTCAAAAAATTATTTCCTCACTATTTAATTTTATGCAGTGTTTGGGACGGTGGATATCTAATATTGTTCTTTGTGTACCCATAAATCCCAACAATATGTCCTATCTTAAGAACTTTATCTCATTTCAAGCTTATCATATTTTAAAAATAACCTAGTAATACTGAAAAATAGCCAGATAATTTGAAAAATTAATAATGAGAGTCAATATTATCTCAGAAGACTTGTATTGTCCTTTCAGAATCACAGCCCATTTTAGCTCATCAGCTTCAAAATTTCCTAGTCCTTAAAAACATTCATCCTCATGTCTCTCCACCAGCGATCTTTAAACTTTTTGTTTCACTTTTAAATGAGCTGAAACAAAAAGATCCTGACATGTGACAAGGGATTAGCTTGATAGGCAGTGTGATATAGAATATTGCCCTAAGGATGATGGCTGTGTTAGACACAATTAATGCCTTTTGCTGACTTCCCACCTCTTCTGAACAAGCCCTTCAGCTAGTGGTGAAAAGAGAGAAAGAGAAAGACTGAAATTAAGAACCACACTGGAAAATACAAAGTCTTCTCATGCAGTGCTTACTAACCTACAGTGACGTTCCAGGGCATTAATCATTCCATCTTGCCCAGCAGGTGTTTCCATCAGACCATCATTGCACACAAATCACAGAAGGGAATTGAGTGTATTGTTGTCCTACTCATAAACAATCTGAACACAGGGAAATCTATTACTCTTTTATATACTTAAAACATTCTTATCGCCTATTGGAGCCTATGCATAGGGCAACTTTGTAGCCTACATCCAGCCTGCCCCCTCCCTGTCAAATATTAATGAGAGTTACAGTATGATTTCCAGTACTGGATAATGGGTCCCATTGCACAGGAGGGCACAGAATAGACTCACTTCAGCATTTCTCTACACTGTCTTCTTCCATTAAGTAATCAATAGTCACCACCTTTTAAAATTAATTCTCCCCCCATTATATCAATAAAGAAAAGAAGATTGGAGAGTAGTGGTTTAGGATACAAGACTATTACTTTGGGTTTTGTCAGTCATCTCATTGCTAATCGTCCATCAGCTTTAAGCCAGAGGAGTATATCAATTCATGCTAAGACACCCTTAAGAAGCAAATCTATTTAAAAGGACATTTTAAATATTTTATTATTCCCTAGGCTAAAATTTAGTGACTTTCTGAGATAGTTTTATAATATATAGATTATAGCTTATGATGAAAAGGGGGTAATGTCTAGTATGAGGTATGGATGATTAACAAATTTGTAATTTCTACTCTTGTCAAGTTTTCTAATGAAAACATGAGTCACGTGGAAGCAAAGCCTGTTTCCTAGATAATAACTCTTAATAAATGAGAATGTGTTTGGATATTGATAATTTTGCATTGTATAATTGTAATTATTAAATTTAGCAAATATTATCTTGTGACAGAAGCTCTATCAAGACAGAGCTGTCGTATAGACAAATAGCTATCAACAGGAAGAGTAGCTTACATAAAAACGTAATTCATATCTTAGATAATTCCTTGTTTTTATTGACATTAGTTCATATGTAGTCTTTCAACTTTATATAACTGTATACAGCCTTTCGTTATGTGCAATTAGAAATACACTTGTAAAATGGCACAACACCTTTGGAGGGAGACTTGGCAATACCTAGAAAAATCACATATGTATTTGTCTTTTGTCTCAGCAATTCCATTTCTAGATGTCTATACCAGCAATACACTTGGATCTGAATTGATCTTCACAACCACATTCATTGTAGCATTTCTGAATTATCAAAAACCGAAAAGCCCAATATTCATCAAGGGGGCACTGATTAAATAACAATATGGTAAATCTACACAATGGAAATGTATGTAGCTGTAAAAATTGAAATATGTCTTTTTAATGCAATGGAATGATCTCTAGGATATAGTGTAAGTGAGAAAAGCAAAATGGAGAAAAGTGTATGCAGTGGGCTACCATCTATTAGTATGTAAGTATATGTTGTGTTTGTTTTAATACAGGCAAATATATATTTTCCTGCCTCAACATATGAGGCAAAATAAACAGAGTGAAGGGAACAGGAGAGAAAATAGACTTCTCTGAATACACCTTGTTTTGTAGATTTGACTTTAAAACCCTGTAAATATCTTACATATTTATAAACAAAATAAAATCAAAATAAAATAATAATTTCTAGAAATTCAAAATTAAAATGAAGCAAAAGAACAAAATTCAATATTGAATTCATGGCTTAAAAGAGAGGAATTATTTTAAGCAATTTTAAAACACAGTGATTTGTCTGTGCATACATAGTGGGATATATTGTAAGGGCAAAAAATAATGTCAAGCTAAATCAACCCATTTTTAGTAATCATATTGTTATTAATAATATTGATATATATATAAATATGTATGTTGAATGACAATGAAATGGTGATGATATTAATGACATTTTCTCAGTATACCAGAAAATCGATGCAAATACAAAATCAAATGTTTAAACAAAACCCTGTAATCTTAAATCTCAATCAGAATTATTATTTTGCAAACCCCTAAACAATATGGGATCAATGATCATCAATGGCCATTAAAATCACAAAGAGAGACAACCAGAATATGTGCTTTGTAATAAAAGCACCTAATACCACTAATGAAATGTTCTTTAAAAAGAAAGAACTAACTAACTAAATAAATAAATAAATCACACCAACCTTTTGTATCTATCAGATTTCAGAAAATACAGAGACAGAGGAGCATGTTAAATGACACCAAAAGAATGCAGTCAATCAGAAAAAAATTCAGATAAAAAGAAACTACAAGACAAGTAACATTTCAGAAAATACAGAGACAGAGGAGCATGTTAAATGACACCAAAAGAATGCAGTCAATCAAAAAAAAATTCAGATAAAAAGAAACTACAAGACAAGTAACCTGGTTTCTTCTATTAATCAATACAAAGAAATAAAAGAGGTGAAGGAAAGTATAAATTAAGAGCCTTTAATAATTGACCGAATACAATCCATGAATCTCATTTAGATATAGATCAAATAAACCACTGTAACAAAAACATCCAAGAGACGACTGAGGAAATTTTGAAAACGAATAGCTATTTGGTGATAGTAAGGAAATATTGTTATTTTTTATTTGTAATTCAAAATAATCTAGAGAGGGGCAGCAAGTGTGTGGGCATAAAGAAGAAACACAAATGCCTATTATTTAATGATTAGCTGGGTGGTGAATATATGGGGTAGATTACTTTCTAACTTTACATATACTTAAAATTTCTTCTAATAAAATATTGGGTTTATACACACACACACACCCCTATATAATATCTAAAAAATAACTTATAAGGAATTAACATTCTCATAACTTTATTAAGAAACCAATTTGTAAAAATATAGTATTGCTTAGATTATAGTTATTTGGAAGTACCAGACATTGAAGGAGAAAATAAAATTTTGTTTTCTAAATTCATTTTAGTACAATTAGCTTTCTGATATAAATGTATTTTTGGATTGCCTTTTTGAAGACTGTCTGTGATCACATGATGCAGATTACCTTCTTCCACATAGTCCACTTGACTTCCACAAATATAGTGCTGAGCAAGTGTCAACTGGGGTGTTTGTACATATTTGTATATGTGTTCCTATAAAATGAAATGAATAATATAAAAGAACATAAGAGGATTTATTTTTTATCATTCACATCTCTCCTCTACTTTTGCATAACAATTCTAATAATTACTGAATGTCATTTAATGATATCATGGGTTAGGGTCCTTAGAAATCACCTAGTCCTTCTCAATGAAGACTTGCTGTCCTCAAAGCAACTTGCTGTCTGAGCAGGATGGAAAGTGGCAAAGTTAGCTTGATAGAAAGAATGAAACTAAGATTTCCTGGAACAGTGATCAGCCTGCATTTACAAAATGAAGGAGAATTAGGGGGTTTCTTTTTAGAAATGTGAATCAAGCTTTTCACCAAAACCAGAAGAAATTGACACTTATTTTGTTTCTTAACCAGCCACCAACTTTTGGGGTCTTCAGATAAAATCTCATCTCCAGCTTGACTTAATATTTGGGTAAGGTACTGGTGGAAAAGTTTCACAGTCTATTTCAAAGAAAAAATTTG